ACTCTCATGACCTAACCGAGAGGTCCGAGGAGGAACGTCTTAAGTCACTTTATAAACCAGCAGCAGTGACAGAAGCCCTTGGGAAGGTAAAGTTTTTCCTCCKGAAGCAAAAGTTCCAGAGCAGCGCAGGCCAGAGATGGTGTCCCTTGAGGCCACATTGCTATTATGTCTTTTTTTAGAAAAATGCCCTGTCAAGGGCTGTGCTTGCTTTCTGGCCCCAGTTTTATCCAAACTAAGTCTCAGTGGCTCATTTTTGTTTTCCAAGACCTCAGATCCGGGAGCATCTTGGCACAGAATTTGCCAAGAGCGTTCCATCAGCTCACTCTGTGCTGGGGCCACCCCAGTCACGTTTTGTGGGGGGTGCTCCCTTTTTATTGTCTTATTTTCTCCACAGAATGGGTCATCCTGCTCCTTTAAAAATGACAGTGAGAGAGCAGGAGCCACACTGATTTTTAAGGTGGAGACGAGACAGGGCTTTGCAATTCATAGAACTTCACCAGGGGTGGAGGCCGCAGCGATGCTCACCTTACTGATGGGATTCTGCAATCTGTATTTGGGGTAAAAATGGGAGTTCATAACCCACTTGAATAAAATGTATGAAAGATGATATGTCATGAGTTTTGTAATGTTTTGAACAACCAATAAAAAAAAAAAAAAACACTGGGCTTGGGTTGGGGCAGTGGCTCAGTGGCAGAGCATTTGCCTAGCAATGTGTGAGGCACTGGGTTTGATCCTKAGCACCACATATAAATAAGCAAATAGAATAAAGATATTCTGTCCATCTACAACTACAAAAAAAAAATTTAAACAAAACACAAAACAATACTGGATTTGGCAACATTCCTTGTAAGGGGTTCGCAACCGCAGTGTGCATGGCTGCAATGGATGTGGCTTGCAGGATATTTTAAACTGGGGGGAATTTGGTGCCTAATGATTTAAAAAATGGCCGAGAGAATCTTTCATACACCTGATAMCCCTCGTTTTCGGTGATGAATTCTGCTCCTTCACATGATGAAGTATAACAGAGAAGCACACCAAGGCAAGCGTGTGAAGCAGGGTTTATTTAAAAAGGRGTAACACAGGTTTCTCCAGGGAGGGAGAAGGGGGCCATAGCTGGTATTCTGGTATCCCAAGAAGCAAGGCCTTCTGCCTTTTTGTTATGTATCTTAGGCTTCTTTTGTTCTCCTGCTCTCTTCTCCTTATCTCTTTCCTTCCTGGTCCTGACCAGGCCCAGGAGATGCTGAGGCCAAAAGGTGAGAAGCAGATGGAAGGAGGGAAGGGCCTGGTTGGGAGGAGGGAGCACTCTCTGTAGGGAGGAGCAATTCCTGGGACCAGTTMCTTTAGCAACAGGCTGGAGCTGAGGCTGTTATCTTTATAGGGTGGAGGAAGGGCTCTGAAGGCATTTCAGTCCCTTCAGGGGACAGTCTCCAACTTCCCGGACTCACTCAAATTGGCCTCCTTGATCCGACCTGACTCAATTTACCTATCTACACTGACTGTCTGTCTAATTCTGTCTTCATGCCTATCCAAACCCCAACTCGGAAGTCAGAAGAACAAGTAGGGGTGCAGGGTCCTTTGGTGTATGATCCTCCCCTCGAACACTCAAGATGGAAGCTKTTCCCTCTCTCTGAGGTCTGCCGAGGCCACAGGAGCAGAGTCTTCTGTGCAGTTTGCTTTTGGCCCCTTCCCACCCTATTGTGTGGTGTTTGCCTTGCCCCTGCCAGGCCTCCAGGATCTCAGAGTGTCCAACCAAGTGGAAGTCCCACTGCAGCAGGGAATGTCTGCATTGCTGCTCTGGGGAAGAAAAAAGAAAAAAGAAAAAAGATCTGCCCTGCCACCAGGTCCCTTGGCCACCAGACTCACAGGGAACTCCAGGCCCAGATCAAGTCCTTTGTGTTTGTTTTACACTAATAATGGCATTTCCTTGGCTCCCCAGAAAACATGCCCTTTCCACAGCGACTGGCTCCATCAAACATCATGCACAGTTGGACTTGGACTCTACATCGTTTTTTTTTCTTCTTACCTGTCTTGTTTTCTTGATAATTCCCTTTGCACCTATGGCTTACTTACTCTGTCAGAAATCATAACTACTTGCACTCATGCAAAGGAAGTCTGGAGATACGGGATCTAGGGATGCAGTCTCTCTCTTGTCTTCCCATTTTTCCTTGAAGGGGGTGTCCTTGATTTGCCTCATCACAATATGGTGGCAAGGGTATCAGCCATCAAGTCTAAGGTCCACAGAGAGTGTAAGGGTGTATGTCAGCTAATTCAGCCCCTATAAAAAAAAAGAGCTTTCATAAAGGCTACCCTGGGGAGATCTCTGCTGAGATTACATAGCTCAGAGCAATGCCATATAACACCCCTGCCCCATGTACTGAATTTTTTTTTTTCGTTGTTAACCCGAGCACATTGTTGTTACAGTTAGCAATTTGTCAGGAAGAAGCATAGAATTGGGCATTTGAAGAAATGAGACTTAAAATGTCCACCTCACTATTTTGTGGAGGAGACTAAGCATATCTGTTTCAAGCATATCAGTGTTTGATGGAGTGGTAGCACATGAAAATAGGACTTCCTTCTGTCTCTCTGGGTTTATTCCCCCCTCAGGGTATTGTTCACAGACTGAGCACACCCTGCAACAAGACCTGATGCCACGATTTGTTCTCCATCTAATTAACTCCAATGCACCATTTCATTTTTAGGGAGAAAACGGATGGCATCAGAAAAACTATTCAACCTACTTATCATCAATGGAGCATTTAAAACCAGAAGAGCCATTTTGCACAGAACCTTTTTTTAACATTCACAGAAGCAACTAATTGTTATTTCAGATATAGCTGTCCACAAGCTATTAAAAAACCACGAAAATGGTTGACAGTACTGCCTATGTTATCATTATATAAGGCAGCATTCTTTTTATCACCAAATAGAGTTTTCACTRCAGAGAATAAAGTATCTGCACATTCATTTAGCATTATTTTAAGATCTTTATTGTTAACATTGGGGAGTTTCCAAGTGTGTTAGAMATCAACACAGAAAATTAGAGACAATTCTCACACATCACTGCTGATTTTACATTCTCTTCCATTTGAGGATTTGGTTGTAGAGGCACACAGCACAAAAGAATGTATTTAACCAAATGTCAATACCCATGATCTGATATTATCCAGGCAAACATCATCCAGGAAGCTAAATGGGGAAAGAAAACTAGACCTGGGGAAAGTAAATTAAAAAAAAAAAAGTGAGGAATGCTTTCTGATTATTGTCCTTATTGTTCTTTTTCTACGTTGGAGATTGTAATACTCTAATTTTGTCAATTATTGCTGCTATAAAATCCAAATTTTCCATGTGTGGTGTGTATGATTTAAAAAAAAATGGAATTTGCATTCCTGAAGCAAGACAGAAAAAAAATGTGCAAAATGTACATCACTTAGATCTCTGATTGTTAAGGTCCAGGAGAGTTTTGCAACTTGTGACCTAAGCAAATTTTTTATTTCACAAGTCAACGGGAATGACAGATTTTTTGTGTGTTCATTTAAAAAGTAACTTGCTTCTGGGCAATAGAAAGAGGGGAAAGAAGCAAGGAAGGAGAGAAGCCAGGCAGGAAGGGAAGAGAGAAAGAAAGAAAAATGTGGGGACAGAGGGAGAGAGAGAGAGAGAGATTGATTTTCCAGAAAGAAAACAGAAACTGTGTGTATGTCTATAGAGATGTATATTTAAATAAAATAAACAAATAAAATATGTGGCATACACTATTGCCAAAGCAGTAACAACAGAAAACACACACACACACACACACACACACACAAATAATTTCAAATGTAGCTAATAATGCCTCAATTGATAATTCTGAAATTGATTCTTCCCTCAAAGGTGATTGAATTTATGCCTAAAGTAATCATAATTTGATAGCTATTAACCTAGAAACAGAGTTATATAAATTTATCCCATGTTCTAAAATGTAACTAGTCCCCTAACATTTAGATTCTTCATTTAATATATATTAAAATTGCCTTGTCTGTATTATATTTTACAAAATCATCCACATGAATGCTTGCTCTGAGTTCAACAAAAGATTTTATTTTCAATTTCGAACTAGAGGCATTTATGTCTCTAGATAAGGTGACCAAGATGTTTCTGGGCACAAATGAATACATCCTTCTCTCCTCACCTGCTCCAAGGAGCAGGGAGTGGGAGGTGGGGAGGCTTCTATTCCTTGCATAGCAGCCCATACTGCAGGCTTTCAGGACAGAGGCAAAGTTCTCTCTCAAAGGGTCTGAGGATGTCCACAACTGTCTTTGAGAGAGTGACGCTGTTCTAAATGACAACGTCAACGTTTCTTCTGCCACAGGGTTAGTTAGCTCCAGGACTCATTAGTTACCCAGGCAAGCGGCAATGGGAAAAGTCCCAGAATTGGTGCACTGTCCAGTGTTTTTACAGCCTCTGTCTCTGCCTGCTGATAATGAGACACCGTGAGAGGCAAATTGGGTGACTCTATCTGGCCAATGATTTCACATTTATGTATCTCAATATGACGGTGCTCAAGGCACGGCTTCTATGTCTTGGTTAGATGACAGGATGCTTTTTACAAGAAAGCACTCTCCGGTTATCATTTTCTATAGATTAAAAAACTTACACATTCTAGTTTTCCTGTCTTCCAGTTTTTCCTGATTTCAGCACCTGGCTTTTATTCCCCATTACTGAAAATTTTTCCTCCAATTGAAGATACAAGTAAATGAGATAATGAAAGGAGATGAAACTTACTCTGTTAGTCTTCATAATAGATTTCTAAACCAAATTTGCTAGCAAAAAAAAAATAAATTTTAATGACATAAAGCTATGGAGTTTCTATATTATTTTTTATGAGTTTAACCTACTCACTACCATCACCAGAACACAGCTGTAACATTTTTTAAAGCCATGATTACAACTACTTGCCTTAGGTGATTGGCTGATTGGCTGAAGATAAAGTGATCAAGCAGTAGCCCTGCTTGTGTGCAGGATTACATCTGGGACTCTATGGAGACTCGATTTAGAGTCAGGAGAGCTTTCCGATAAGGAGCTTCCTTACACTCCTCCTTGACAGCGGTGGTGGTCTCCTCTGGGTTTTCACAGCTGCTGACGATGGCAACGGCACTAAAGGACCTTCTTCTGACACTGGTGTCTGAGGTACAGGATTCTCGGACGGGTGATGACTTCCCCATGTTGTGGAGCTGCTGGTCTTTCCAGTCCAGCTGCTTGGCACTGCAAAAGGGGGCATACACTTCCACACTTCCCTCAAACTGCAAGCAATTCACTTTGTAATACTTCCTCTTCACCTCCAAGACGTCATTAAACCTGTGGCCCCAGAGGATTTCTCGGGGCACATAGGAGCTCCTCGATTGGTGTGAGGTCCCAGTAGAATCACCAGTGTAGATAAAGGTCACCAAGATCTCAAAGTTGTCTTTGGCCACTGCTTTGCGATCGAGGGCATACAGAGGACTCTCCTGGTCGATCTCGTGAACGATTGTCACCGGGGTCACCAGAATGATCTGGTCATTGACTAACTTGAGGTCTTTAAACGCCATGGTCATCCGCCCTTCGCTGTCTTCTGTATAGCGGAGAAGCTGGGCTCTCACGGTCCCTTCTACCACGTGGTTTGGTCGGAAATCACCAATGCGCCACATGAGGCACAGCTTCCCATCCCTCATGCCTATCAGAGCAAAATAGCTAAATCGGATGGTCTGGGCTCTCTTTCGGGCAGTTGCCATTTTGGCCAGGGCAGCTCCAATGATGAAGGTGTTGATGATGCAGCTTAAGATGGACTGCAGGATCACCGTGAGCACTGCCACCGAGCACTCCTCGGTGACACAGCGGTAACCGTACCCGATGGTGGTCTGGGTCTCCAGGGAGAATAAAAATGCCCCCGTGAAAGAGTGAACATTGTCGACACAAGGTGTGATGTCTGGGTCATTGAGCAGGTCTCCRTGATGAAAGGCGATCAGCCAAAAGACGGAGCCAAAGATCAACCAGGAGAGAATGTAAGACAAAGAAAAGATCACAAACATGTGGCGCCATTTGGTGTCCACCAGAGTGGTGAAAATGTCCACCATGTAACTCCCCCATTCCCCAAAAATGTGCTTGAAGTACACATTGCAGTTGCCGTCTTTGTGCAAGAGACGCCGTCTGGCCCTCCTCTTCTCCGCTACGATGTGCTCTGGGGGGTAGCCTGGGTATTTGGAGTCCACGTTTACAATTCGATAGCTGCTGCCGTAATAGCTCATTCTCCGTTGTGTCTTTAGAGCATTCAGTTGAGTTTTGGAGCAGTAATCGTTCTAGGTGTGTTAATGGTTCTTGATTTTTTTTTTTTCAGTTAAGATCTAAAAATAAATAAATAAGAAAATTAAACCCACTGAACTCTAGCTTTGGATTTCTACCTTCATAGCCGTTGGACAAATCTGCAGCAATTATCTGCCATCTGAAATAGCTACGACTTTGTGTGAACCATAGAGACATTCAGTGTTGATTTCTCATTTCAGTTTAGAATTCAATAGAGTCATGATAGCAACAAAATATGCAATTAGAGAAAATAACAATTTTTTTTTCTATATGCAGAAAGCTTGGGTGAACACCATGATTATACCAAATGATGCCTCACTACTCTTTCGGACCTGAGGATAGAGAACATTGGCTTTTGTTTTTGTAGACTCCTCTTGCATGAGGGCATCTAGAAAACAAACTAATTCATAATAGACAAAGGTAAACTATAATTTGGTTATTTGTCCAGCAGTCTTATAAGTGTTCCCAGTGCTGAATCCATACAGTTTTCCTTGGAGAACAACACAAGAAAGAGTTTCTACCTCCACTTAATGGAACTTACGTGCTGGTTGCTAATAAGTGGTCCTCAACTCCACTGCCTGCTGCTTTGTCTTCTTCCCACACACAATTCTCTTCCTTGTGTGCTTCCCAGGATAGAGCAGAACCCCGGAGCATCTACTGCAGATTAAACACCTTCCCCCTAGCTCCACCCTTAGTCTTAACTGGAAAATACCTTTCTTAGCCCAGAGGAGTTAAAACCACTCCCAGATAAGCTTTCGGTAAGGTGTAGRGTTGCTTCTGTCTTTGTCTCATAACATCCATCCTTTCTTTCATTCTTTTACCACCCCCCGCCATTAGACATTGGCAGCTCTTCTCTTTCCCTCTGAATAGAAACCTAAAATTTGCCAAAGTTGCTAATCTTGTTCTCTCTTAAAGGGAGCCTACTGCCACACAGTTGGATCCTTCTCTCTAGTTCTTCATTGGTTTTCCGATGCCTTCACAGCCAACCCCAGGCAAAGTATCATTGTTCTCCCTTTAAGCTCAGTCGTGACAAAGTTAAAGTACAACATCCAGTTTTCAGTATCCTTGGTATAGACCAATGGATTTCCCCGATCAAGTCTGAAAGTAAACTCTAAAAATACAAAGTCAAAAAAAATCCTCTTTAGTCACTTCTGTATGAAAATAAAACAGAGAACTAACTGCAGACCATTTTCGTGATTTAGTGATTATTAGAATATTCTGCATACTCCACTTATGCTCGATGGGAGAAAGGGAGTGCAGGAAGGGAGATTATACAAGAGGATCCTGCCATTCGGCTGCATAGAAAATGCAGTGAGAATAAATACTGTCCCTGACACTAAGATCCCCTGCCACCAACCAGGGAAAAGGTTCACTAAATACTCACTCAACACCGTCCTCCCTGAAAAAGGGAAGAAAGAGTTAACTACTCCCACTGAAATTGAATCATTGTCCTCTTTCTGCTAGGGATCAGGCCCACTTACAATGAACTCTTTGTTTAGTGGACCACTTAGGAGGAGACRCTCTGCTCACTGCCCCAAAACACTGTTAGCTCCAGTGGATTTCTCTGTCCACCTGCCTGCCTCTCCGCCTGATCTGTTCTGAGTAGCTATGTTCTCTTGCTGGTTAGCACTGACAGCATGGTTTGGGGAGGATGATTCTATAACTTCAGAACATGACCTGGGGCTGCCAAAATGCTTTCTAGAATATGCAACGTAAAATAGTGCCATAAACTTTGTTCGTAGCATAAATAAATAGAAAATTTGCCAAAATTTAATTGCCTTAACAATCACCATCCATTGGCCTTTGGAGATTCCTATCTCATTCGTCATTAAATGACACTACAAATAGAAGTTACTATGGGATTCAGTCTCTGCTCCTACTTGATCCAGGATGCCTGAGAATGGGATGAATTACAATCAGAGGCCCATATGATTTCAAATTAAAAAGCAGATGTGGAAATAGGATTTTTGCTTTTATTACATGCTCCTACCCTGATTCCTTAAAGAAAACTGCATGTATCATGGGAGGCTGAAAGTTAGAAAGCATAGTTCATAAATTAAGAGCTACTGTGTAACTCTGCTCTTTCATGTTGCCAAAAGAGAAAAAACACTTTTTATTTGAAATGGCATTTGGTTGGCATCCTTGTGAATTCCAGGGGTGCCAGCAACTGTTCTAAACAAGCCACTTTTAAAACACCTTCCAAAACATGCTAATGGGTGCATGAATTTTCAATTAATTCAAGTTTACCAGCGAGCAAATTCAATTATGTGGAAAATTTGTTGCTGAACAATGGAACAATTTTAGAAGTACAAGTTACAACTGTGAGAATTATGTGCCATCTTCTGATGTGGTTCATTATTGGGATCATTCATTGCAACTKATCTGGAGACAAGCTTTCAGATTCTACTAAGGTCCATAAACTGTATTCATTTATTCTTTGACTTTCTCTGATCATGGAAATGATGCTTTCCTTATGACAAATGTCTTCAAGCTAAATGGAAGACGACAATAGCCAAATAAATCCTATTACCTATTTCTCAGTGTACACTATGAGGAAAGAAGTTTATGGAGGCCCTTTGGTCAAAACAGCTAGACAAAATAAACATTAGCTAACCTCTTGGTTAGTACATTGTGTTAATATGAACAACTGCTTGCCATCCACTAGCAAAGGAGAGCACCCGTAGATTGACTGGAATTCCATATTTAACATTGTGTTTCTTAGAGTTAAACCCCAGCCTTATATTTGCCTAAATGTTTGCATCATCATCTTGCTGCCTTCAGTTCCATCATGAAAAAAGCATTTGCAATCTCCCTACTCCCGTATTTAATTTTGCATGTTGCTATCTAGAAAGTGATGGTGACTATTTTATTGGGTTTAAAATTCCTTCTTTTTAAAAAAAAATTGAGAAAGGAAATTAGATCAATTTTAATTTCAAAATTATGGAACATGAAGTTCCAAGGTAAGTGCTGAGGCCCATTTTGCTAGATAGTTAACCACAAAGGTGGGGAGAGCCCTGAGATTCCTTGGCCACAAGCATGGACTCTTACAAATGAGACTAGAGTAAGGACAGTGGCAAGGTTCAGGAATGGCCAACCCTCAGAAGGTCATCAGAGCTTGTTAAAATGTCCAAGACACCAAGAAAAGCCTAAGAGGGCCCTTGACTTACTTGATGCCCCGGAGGGAGTCGGGAGAGAAGAAGTTGGTGGGGTCAGACCACCCAATCCTGCTGGCCACTTTTCTCATCTAGCTTATCATATGAAATTCAGGCATAAAAAAAAGTTTCTTAATCAACTTAACTAGCAGGATATTCATCTAGTTCTTAACCTTCTAAGTCTTCAATGGATTAAAAAACAGTCAACTAATTCAGCACATTTCACATGGGACATCAACAGCAGAGCCAACAAGTATCCAACATGTTTTTCCTCATTTCTTGATGTACAAAATTGTCTCAGTCAGACTCATAGATTTTGAAGCATTTTTTTTTCTGCCATTTTGCCACATTGTCTCATTCATTTATTGACTTTGCCTACTATTGCAGATAGTTATTCAAAAGTAAGCTTTTTGGGGGGCCCAAGGACTAGGGATGGAATTCGGGGTTGCTTTGCCATTGAGAAAAATCCTCTCTCCTTTTTTTATTTTTTGAAATAGGATCTCACTAAATTTCTAAGGCTCTCCTCAAACTTGCAATCCTCTTGCCTCAGCCTCCAGAGTACTTGGGATTATAAGGGAGAGCCGCTGTACCTGGTCCAACGTATTTTTTTTGTTAGCATGCTGAGGGTACAAACTGGTGCCACATGGATAATAAAATCTGATCTTGTCTCCAGCATCTACCTAACATAATTATAGTCGTTGCCTAGTTAATTGTATAATTGGTGATGCACCACCAAAACAAATGGTCAAAAAATTCTTTGGTAAATTCAATTACTGTTGTCCATGCCCTTTGAGGTTAAAAGTACCCTCTTTCCCACATCAAAGACCAGAGAAGTCAATGCAAGTCATCAGTAGTAATCAAAGTACTCTCCTGGCAACTATTAGATAAGTTTTGGTGGAAATGTGAGAGCCTACTGGATAGAGAGTAGAAAAGATGGCCTAATTCCTCAAGCAGGTCATTGGCCTTGAACACAGGTTTTGTGGGTGGAGCTCTGCAGGAAGCAGCAAAGACACTGAAGGGGTGGGAGAACAGATCAGTCAGGGAATGCAGACAGGTGGTGGCACAATGCAGGTGGGCACTCCTCACTGAGGAAGGAGAGAGAGGGATTGAGCTACGACAGACCCTACACAGTCAGGCTCTTTTCCTACTTTGTTCAAAGCCTGTTCCACAGCTCCTTGCTTGGGGTAAGGGCCCTGTTTTGCTTGGAATTCTGATAAGACATACAGACACTTAGAGGTAGCTCTACATTCCGCCTCTGAAATCCTGCTTCACTCCGGAACCTTCTCGGATACAGTCCAGACGTCTCCAAATCCCCCGATATCTGGCTTCAGTTTCTCCTTTGTTCACAAATCCCTGGCTTCCTTCACAGCTCCAGTTTGAAGCTGCAGTTGGGAATAGAAACACAGAGCATCACCAGTGACATTATCCCGAGGTCCTGTTTCCAGCCCRGCTTTTCCTAAGGGGATATTTATATCCTCATCATAAATCCGTCCTCACCCAGATGCTGCTATGTTCTATAAGGAAGTAGAAATTTGGAGACTGGGATTTCGTTTTCCTCTGCATGTCAAGTTTGTATTAAAATCAGTTTGATCGTTACATGTATGTATGTACCAAATATCACCCTGTGTCCCATAAATATGGATACATGTTATGTTTAATTAAAAATAAAGTAAATTGTAACAAAATAACATGAATTATGATTCCACGTAATTTGGTTTAAAGGTCAAATTATTTTAATAAGAATTAGTCTCAGTGGTTTTTTTTTTTTTTCTTTTTTGTATAATAGAGAAACCCTGAAAGAGAAGGCARACCCTAGGGCCAGGTCTGTCCTCAATTTCCAGAGCACTTTTTATAAGTTATTTT